TGGGGGGACCTTGGGGACATGGGGGGACCTTGGGGACACGGGGGAACCTTGGGGACATGGGGGGACCTTGGGGACACGGGGATGGCTTTGGGGATACAGAGAGGGGCTTGGGGACACGGAGAGGGCTTTGGGGACACTGGGATGGCCTTGGGGATGTGGGGAGAGCCTCGGGGACATGGGCATGGCTGTGGGGTATGGGGAGGGCCCTGGGGACACAAGGCTGGCCCTGGGGACATGGGCATGGCCATGAGCACACGGGCATGGCCCTGGGGATGGCTCTGGGACACGCTCCTGCTGCAGCTCCAGGCTCACATGGGGACAGAGGGGACAAAAGTCCTTTCTGGGCAGATCCCCGAAACTTCACCCAGTCCCCTGGGTGTTTCCAGCCCTACTCGAGCAGGACGAGGGGGGGGTGTGCAGCTTGTCCCAGGGCTTTGGGGATCCCCATGCCCTCCCTCCCCTTTCCCCCTCGCAGTTCCTGCACGGCCGAGGGCAGAAGGAGGTCAGCATGCAGATGGTGCAGACCATGAGGATTGGCCTGAAGGACCAGAACAAGGGGCTCTTCTCTATCTGGCAAGAGATCTTCCAGCTGCCCAGGCCCCAGAGGTAGAAGGAAGGGTTTTTTAGGTCTGTTGGGTGCTTGGAGGGTGGTGTTCCCATTTCCCAGAGAAGCTGTGGCTGCCCCTGGATCCCTGGAAGTGTTCAAGGGAGGCTGGATGGGGCTGGGAGCAATGTCCTGTGAGTCCATGGCCTGCAGGGTCCTGGAGAGCAGCTTCTTGAGGGGATTTGTGTCCATCACAGAATCCCGGAATGGTTTGGCTTGGAAGGACCTTAAAGCCCACCCAGTGGCAGCCCTGCCATGGCAGGGACACATCCCACCCTCTCAGGCTGCTCCCAGCCCTGTCCAGCCTGGCCTGGGACACTGCCAGGGATCCAGGGACAGCCACAGCTGCTCTGGACACCTGTGCCAGGGCCTGCCACCCTCCCAGGGATATTCCTTCCCAATATTCCTTCCCAAAATTCCTTCCCAATATTCCTTCTAAACCTTTCCTTTCTCAGTTTAAAGCCATCCCAGATGCTTTGTTACCACTCCCTGTAGCTCCCAGTAATTCAGCACTGGCATTGCCTCCAGTCCAATTCCCAAGCATCCAAATATTCCTTGCTGGCTCCTCCAGCACTGGGAAAACCTCAGCTCTTCCCTCTGGGCTCCCCCCAGGCACAGGATAGGAATGGATCCCTTTTTGCCAGCCCAGCTCCTGCTGGGGGATGAGGACCTGCCCCGTCCCGAGGGCTCAGGGGGCTTCAATTCCTCCTCCCAGCGCTTCCAGCACATCCTGCACCTCTCCATCTCCTCGGGAGAGCAGGAGAAGCTGGCCCAGGTGAGAGCAGCCGAGGGGGCTGGAGCTGAGCTCCGTGGGAAGCTCAGAACCCCAGCGAGGCGAGATCCACCTGATCCCACACCCGCTCCCAGGGCCTGTTTGAGAACTTCCTGCAGATGAAGGTGCGAGATTCCAGCCTGGGCTCCGTGTGCCTGGCCCTGGAGTGGCTGGGCTTCTCCGACCTGCTGGGCCAGGCTGTGCTGCAGGCCCAGAACTTCCAGCTGCTGCGCTACCTGCCCTTCCTGCCCGTGGCTTTCCACCTGCTCTTCGCGGCCACCTCCATCCCCCGGCTGGCTTATCCCAGCAGCCAGCCCGAGGCAAGTGCAGCAGGGCCTGCTGCCAGCCTGGCCCAGCTCCCTGCCGTGGGGACAGTGG